ATTATGTCTATCATATGATACAAACCTTCAGCGCTATTGATTTGTTCCGTTTTGATTGCTTCTGAGGCCAGAATGCGAGACCTTTTCATACCTTCGGCGATATTAATCTCGGCCTCTCTTCTGCCCTCCGACTCGAGAACAGCCGCCCTTTTCTTGCGTTCGGCCTCCACTTGCATTTGCATCGCGTCTTGAACTCGAGTGGGAAGCGATATGTCTCTGATCTCATACCGCATACACTTCAGACCCCACGACTGACTCGCGGTATTAATTGACTCAACGATCGCTATATTCAGAGATTCCCTCTCTTTGAACACCGAATCCAAAGTGATTTTTCCGATTTCGGATCTCATCGTCGTTTGAGCCAATTGTGTGATCGCGAACTCCGGGTCTTCGACGCCGTACGACGCCTTATACGGGTCCACAACTCGCAGATACAGCACACCATCGATGTTAAGCGTCACGTTATCAGCCGATACGGCCGACTGTTGAGGAATATCGATGGCTATCTCTTTGAGACTCTGGACATAACTGACTGAATCGACAATTGGGAGCAGTATATTGAGACCGGGTTCTGACCAAAGCATACAAAATAGCGGTTAATTAAAACCATTTCAATGACAATATTGTAATGTGAATCCAAACCTAACATCTTGTTAAATCTGCCCATCCTTTCAATAATCCAAGACTCCTGTTGGGGAACAAAGACAACAATAGTGTTGATTCTGGCCGTATGTCTTAAGCGGACCAAAGTTTTGTGAACATTAATGTCACGGTTTGTGAGGATTTGAAACTTATTTAAAGAGTTGTGTCGTTTGGTTAGACTCCGGGCCACCGATCGTAAGGCAAACATTGTTTATGCAATGATAACAACAATACACTAATTGTGCTGCAAATCAATCAATTGATAGTCAGATAACATGCGATACGAAATGATTAACTGATTATCACTTTTGAAAAGTGAATACAAATTACAGCGAATGTCATTAAAGGCATGAATTCATCAATTGATGCTTTCCTACAAAACACTCGTCCATACAGTCTGTTATGTTGTGTTCATGTGTTTGGTTTGCAATACTTTATTTATAGTACAGTTAATTCCCTTTACAGGTGTAACACTACGGTATTTAGCATAACGTAATACTCACTCCTTATTACAATAGCCCGAATATTTAGTAAAGTAAAGTAAAGTAATTTACCATCGATTGTTACCATCGCATGTCATCGTAGATTATGTATCAATAAATAAGTGATACTGTAAAACACTTTCCGATTGAACTATCAATAAGTTTTATTAACTTATTATAAGACTAACCAAATTGGTTGCCGTTAAGACCGGCAAATCGCTAACTATCCATAGTTTACTTACTTTTTCATTAAACTATTTACTAATTAAATAAATTGCATACAAATTGTGTAAAATATACAACATTTTAATTGATATTAGAAATTAATTAATAAAAAACATATAATAAGTATAACTTTTACGTTTTATTAGTTGTAATACAAACTCGAAAATTATGAAAACTTATTGTGAACACAAAACTATTGAAAATCGCATTGAGTTTTGCGTTAAACATGAAAATTATCCAAAATATTAAATATATTTGACGATAAACTAAATATACAGTATATTTCACTGCATTCATCATTGAATTGTTATAATTGTTATCATTTTCTACAGAAATTTTCAATCAATTAATGCTTAAAAATTAACATTTAGTACAAAAAAAAGAGAATTTCATTAATTGACAAAAGATTTACCGGTTTTAATGAGTTAAGCAACAAATCATAATCAAAGTTGTGTTCAAAGTTAATTAGTTAAGTAAATCATGATTTAGTGCAACAGTTTTGTCAATTTGCTGATTGACATCACTTTCTTGTGTTTGCGTGAGTTTTGGCTTTTGCTTTGAATCGAGGAGTCGCGAGAAGACTTCATCTTCGACTGTGAGCTGTCGATCAACGCTTCGATCTCTCCGATGGCCGCCGTCTCAGCGGTCGAGGCGTGACTGGAGAGCGTCGGGCACTGCTGTTCCTCTGTCCTAACCATATGCGACTCCAATAGCACCACAATATCACGATTCCCGCAATTATTGGCCACATCTCTGGCATTACGTCCGTAGAAGTCTATGTGATGTGAATCGGAGCCGGCGTTCAACAGTGCGGAACAGGTGTCGATGTGCGCCTGTTGTGCCGCTATCAGCAACGGTGTGGCCCCCTGTGTGCTCGACACGTGGTTCAGGTCAGCGCCCGCTTCTATCAACACATTGGCCACATCTGAGTGTCCATTCCAGGCACACATATGCAGTGCAGTGCGACCCTCATTGTCCACCGCGTCGATAGCGGCGCCGCAATCAATCAGTGTCTTCACCACATGAGCCATTCCCTGCCAGGCGGACACATGCAGAGGACTTCGGCCCTCGAGGTCCTTGATTTCAAGATCGGCTCCCAATTTGACCAAATGTTGTAATGTATTAATAACTGTGAGGTCATTGCCAGCACTGCTCGCCACACAGTATACAGTAGTCCTGCCGTCGGCGTCCATATAATTAATGTCTGCATTATTTTCCACTAATAAAGTCATTAAATCTAAATACGAATGCATTGCCGCCAGTCTTAGGGCAGACTTGCCGTCGTGTGACAACACGTTCACCGATTGGTCGGTAATGAGAAGTCTGGCCGCTTCCACATAACCGCCGACAGCGCTGTCGTGTAGAGCGAGCTTTCCGTCATTATCTCTGGACAGTAGCAAAGTGTCGCCTCCGATCTCTAGCAATGCCTCCAAAATGTCTGCATTACCGACGGCTGCGGCCATATGTAAAGCAGTCCTTCCGTTGTTGTCTTTGTGCAGTTCATCGCAACCCACAGACAACAAGAGACGCGCGCTTTCGACACAACCGTTGGTCTCATTGGCCGCCAAACACAATAGTGATGAGCCGTTGGCGTCGATGTAGTCGGTGTGAGCGCCCCAGAAGAGCAACAGTTCAATGATCTTCGGCGACGAGTGATCGAGTATTGCGTGAACTAATGGCGTTCTGTTCAACGCGTCGGTCGCGTCCACATCCGAGTCGTTGTCCAGCAATAGTTCGCACATTTCTATTGAGTCCAGAGAGACGGCGGCCATGAGAGGCGTTACACCGCTTTCCGTATCACAAACACAGTTGACGTCGGCTTCGAATTCAATGAGAAGTTCAACGATAGATGTGTTGCCACTCTTTATCGCCCAAAATAGTGGACTCTTTTGCTTAATAATTGGTTGATTCAACACATCTATCGAATCGTTGGTCAGAATATCGCGAACCGTCGGAACATCACACGCGAGAAGAGCTCTACTGAATTGACTCAAGAGTTCTTCGTATTCATTATCACTTTGAGGGCTTTCACACATCACATCGCGTTCATCGCAATACAGTTCCTGTTTCTTCTCGCCATTCGTGTCAGTAGTATTGAATTTACCAGAAGTTGAATCACAATTGGACACCGTTTGAGACATGCATTGGTTTTCGTCCAAATGATTCCTACATTTTTGAATAAAGTATATGATTGGCGAGTCTTCGAGCAATTGAGACAACGTGTGGACAGTGACTGACGAGTCGACCGCCAGCAACAGCCACAGAGCGTAGTGATAGACAGAGTAATCATTGATACACGAGTTCAAGACATGGAAGTGGTGTTCGGTTAGATTTGGAAGACTAATACAGAGCGCATGGATTATATGCCCGAAAGACTGGTCGCATAGAAACCGATTCGTACAGTGCTTTACGTCAGTTAACCATTCAATAAGACTCGTATGAGTTAACGAAATTTGATCACTTCTGAGCTCACATATTGAATACAGACATAACTCATCAATTCTCGCGTCCAAGAACTCAATGTCCCAATTGAGACACTTTTCCAACGATTCTCTGCTCATCTGCGAGTCGGAAGACGCGATAATCAACGATATAATGCATTTGTAGTGAAGTTCAAAGTCTGGATTCGAGTCAAAGAGTTTGCAAAATAGGGTCAAATAGAGGCCATTAAGAGTGGCACCGATGGCGTCCACTTCACTGGTTCTCATCACTTGTCGCTCAAAACAGTCTAATATGAGTTTGACGTAAAGAAAACAGCCGTTGCTTTTGATGCCAATCTGATTGAGCGCTTTGCGACCAGTAGTTCCCAAAGGACGGCAATTGATACGCCGAATGCGGTTCATAATGAATGTCTTCATATCGTTGATGACATTGATTTTCCTCATGTCGTCGATCACTATCTTTCGGGAACCGCTAAACATTTTCGTAAACCCTTTTCGCCGTTTTGGTCGAGCGCTCACTATTAGGTGAATCCATTTGGGCATCAAATGCATGTGATTTGCGATCAGTTGACAGATGTCTGCATTAGTGTCGATGGAATCGATTACTATTAGATATCTATAGTCTTCTCTCTCCTTATGCTTCACTTCGAGTAATGGAAAGAGAATTGATTTGCGGAACAAATCATCGCTTGTTATCACTTCATTCACGTCATTGTCGTCACAATTATTGTTGAGATTGTTCTCCAATTGGAGTTTGTCTTTCATTTGGGACTCAATTGAGTCAATGAATTGGTTTACGTTATAATTTTCATTGCATTCAACGAATGCCAACAAATAGTCGTTAAACTTCTTAATTTCAATCAAATGTTTAAACATAAATGTTTTGCCACTTCCGGCGCACCCGAAGACTGCGGTCACACTTGTGTTCACATTCACTGGTGTTCTCGTGTCTATCGTTTTGTCGATTTTGGCGAAAACCCATTCGCGACCAATCAATGGCTGATCGCAGATATCGGGCGAAACACTTTCACTCATGTCTTCACACAATTAATAGTAGTTTTTTAAACACAAAAACAATTGTTTTTTAGAAACTTTTTATAATCAGTTTTAAAATAGTTTGAAATGTTTTGAAAAGTGCTAAAAATAGTCAAATAACGGACACAAGAGTATCACAAACAACGCCGAAGAATAGTATCGACTAATACTCGTCGTCTTCGTTTGATTGGCTGTTTGTGAACTGGTTTTGCTGAGCGATGGCCGCGGCTTGCATTTGGATCCACTCCTGTTTGTCGATGCGTTCCTGTTCTTCGCGCGCTTTGGCGAAGAGCGCCTGCTGTTGCTTCAGGAGCTCCTCTTCGGGGATACCCAAGTGCTCGAGTCGTGTGCTCTGACGCCTTCGCTTCCGCTTACAGTCGTTGACCACCGATTGTGCCTCAGATTTGTAGTGAGAAAAACCCAATTTGTCCAAAGCTGTCAACACGTGTTCGGCGGACATTGTCTTCTTCTGCTGGGATTCGCATATAGTGTTGGCCTCAGAAGTGATGCAATGAATGAATTCGGAACAGCACTGAAGGATCAGCTCTCGGGAGTCGTTGGCCACACGGATGTCGGGCAACAGCTCTTTGATCAGCTTATTCATCGCCGCCCGAGGAATCGTCAGCTCCTCGTCCTCCTTGTCCGTCGACGCCATCCCTCACTCACTAACTCTTTGTCACTATTAGTCACTATTATTAACTGTTATTAACTATTTATTAACTAATTGAGTGATGTTTCAACGCTAGGGTTGCGAAGAGTGTGTAAACACTTGTGATAACGATATGAATAGTAATGAAAAGTAGTGTTCAATGAAATGAATGAAACGATTAGAGAATTGAGTCCACATTTAAGCTCACATTTTGTGGACAATGAATGCATTAATGAGTGAATCGATCGCTAATTCATTGACTAAATTGTGAGCAAATGTATCGATAAAAGCGTTCAATGAAATGAACGCTTGGATAATGAAAACAAAGTCAAAACAAATCCATAAAAAGTAGTGAAAATCATTGAAAACTCATTCATTGAATCAATGGTTGGCTTTTGAGCCAATGGTCGCTCGCATTCACCACTCCTTACATACGAGCGCTTTATTTAAACCACATTTCATTGATATTAGCGTCACATTCACTGCCGATTCACACTCACCACAAATTAATGATGAGTGTGTTGGTCACAAATGTGACCATGGTGTCATTAGTCAATACCTTAATCACCATCGTATTATTAATTAGCATTTATTAGCATTTCATCATTAATAGTCACATATTAATCATGTTATCTACTATATGCTCAATAATTGAAGGTTAAATATTTAGTTTACTTAATCATATCAATGTGTAATTATTAAAATACTCTTGACCATGATACATTTAACAAGATTCAAATAAAGAGTAGTGTGAGTGAATATTATTGAATATTTAATTAATTAATTCATGAATTAAATTATTTATTTATTATTCATATGAAACGAGTTTTTGAAGTTAATAATGAATTTTAAAAATAGATTTTGTTTAACATTTTAAATGTTACATTTATGACAAATATTCAAAAGCATATAAAAAACAAAATATTTATTGCAATTGTGGGGCAAATGTTTCGTCAATTTCATACGAAAAGTTATTGTGAAGTGAGTTGTCGTCAAAAATCAATTTTCTGGTCACCAATTGGTCGATGTCTTTGTCCGACTTCTGGAGTAAATCGAAGAAACCAGTGCCCAAACGCATAGGCATTCCCGATATGATGGACTCCGAGACACCCAATATATGGTCCACCTGTCCATAATAGGCCGCATCGAATAAATGGTCGGCCGTTCTCTCAAACTAGACATTAATTATAA